TAGTTGATCATAAGATATTGGTTCATACGGTTAGGGATCGGGCCGGGGAGCTCGGCAGTGATGGCTTTACACGCGTCTGTATTTCTGGCTGTTTTCAGCATCCTCATGACATCTACAGCAGCATCCAAGAAGAAAGTCACCGACAGGAAACCAGCCGAGCTGTGGAGGACGTCAGCTACGCCTCGGTGCAGTTCAGACACAGCCATGAGAGGAGCAGGTAGGACCGACAGCTGTTCAGCTGTGAGGATGGAAAGTCTTTGCTTGATGCTTGTAGTGTTTTAGATTTTCAGGTGAGAAACAGACACGTAAGAAGAAAATCAGAGGAACTAAATTAAATGAATAAAAGTTACAAACATCATTATTACTTGTTACTTGTTTTTACTTGTTCGTTTACCCTACAAACATAAAACACAGCTAACAGCTAACAGTAGCTACAAACAGCAGTTAATTCTAACTCTTGGACTTCGTGGCTCTTTATTTTTTCACATATGGAATTTTCCAATCATCACAATCAGAATCTTTATTGTCATTGTAGCAACAAAGCATTGAACAACAAAATAGAGACACAAATCTGCAAAAGAAGAATAAAAGAACGCAGTAGACTGACTCACCCCCCCAAGAAATGAGTTCCCCCACCGTGGTATCGTCTGCAAACATTACAGTGGTGTAACTGTGGTGCGGGGGGCTCAGCCCTGTTGGGAGCCAGATGTGGGCGCTCACTCTAACCCCAGATGTTTTTATGGCGCTCATGTGGAGTTTTGTCTTGGTTTTCACAGGCACGTGGAGGAAGTCGATAATGCCGTCGTCTACTCTTCACTAGCCAGTCGAGGCTGAAGTCACACTCTCACCCACAAACTGAAAGGAGCCACGCTGACCACAGGAGAAGCTGCAGGAAGCTCTGCAGCACTTTGTGTTGATCTGCTGCAGTCTGACTTTCATGCTCTGTGGTGCAGGCAGTTGGATAAATTCATAAATCTCCTTCACAGCCTCCATCAGTACTACAATGGTATTGTTCTAGTGTGATGACCCCGTCCACCCTGCCTGGGGGGCTACGTGTTGGTTAGGCGGCTGCTTCTTACAGGCCCTGCAGAGGAATCGTGCTTTGTTCAAGATCAGCATCACTGGCAGCGTCTAAGCTCGACGCGTCTCTACTGAAAGCTCAGTTGTTGGGCGTGTCTGTCTTCTGGGTTTTGGTTGCTGTCTGGTTTGTTTTCTCACACTATGAGACATCACATTCACGTACAGTACTGAGTGTACTGAGCTCTGTTGTCAGGGCGCTCAGTCTGTGACGCAGCAAGTTTATTTTGTATATTTGATTTCTTATGATGTATCAGAGTAATGGTAAGTTCGTGTGTTGTTATTAGTGTGTCTTAGTTAGGTTTGTTTAGATACAATTTCATCCATGCTCCCCTGTGTGTGTGTTGTTTTCTGTTTCCTGTGAAAGCCTGTCTTGTCCTCCTGCATGATTTTTAGTTATATCTGTGCTTCGTTCCCCTTATCTGTTTCCATGTTCCTCTCCTTGTGTATCATTCAATCTTCCCAGTCTGCTTTATGCTTCATGTCTGTGTTTCCCACGTCCAATTGTCAATCAGTCTTGTGTTTCCATGTTCAGTGTGTTTAGTTTTGCTTCCCCTGTGGCATCGTGTTCATTTGTGTCAGCTGTGTTTCCAGGTGTTTCCACTTCCCTCATTACTCTTCTGTGTAAGATAAGATAAGATAAGATAAGATAAGATCCATACCTTGGATGTTCGGTGGTGGCGGTGGAGGATGTTTGTGCCTGTGGAGGTCTACCACCAGCTCCGTGGTTTTACTGGTGTTGATCTGGAGGTAGTTCTGCTGGCACCAGTCCACAAAACCATGGGTCAGTTCTTGGTACTCTTTGTCGTCCCCATCAGTGATAAGGCCGACTATTATAGAGACGTCAAATAATTTCTGCAGGAAGCACTGGGTGGAGTTGTGGGAGAAGTCTGCAGTGTAGATGGTGAAGAGGAACGGAGCCAGAAGCGTTCCCTGTGGGGCCCCCGTACTGTCCGACACACAGCCCTGAGTCCTCACATACTGTAGTCGGTCAGTGAGGTAGTCTAGGATCCATGTAGTGAGGTGACGGTCCACTCCTGAGTCTCCAGCTTGTCCTTCAGGACTGTGGGAAGAATGGTGTTGAAGGCACTGGAGAAATCATAGAACATGATTCTCACAGTGCTCCCAGCGGTCTCCAGGTGAAGTGGTTCCAGTGATGAGCTCACCAGGGGCTGAGCCAGGACCGGTGTCCAGGGTCTTGATCGGGTGGGATGTCAGAGCCACCGGCCTGCAGTGTTGGGAAGGTTACTTTTAAAATGTATTCCATTACAGAATACAGATTACATGCCCCAAAATGTATTCTGTAACGTATTCCGTTACGTTACTCAATGACAGTAAC